AAAGTCCAGTATTACAATCAGTTGGGGCATATAAATTAGTACTGTTATTATGAGGGATAGTTTGGAGGTTCATCACAAAATTAAGCCAGATGCTTGTGGCTCATGCTTCTGTAATTTTAACTACTCAGGAGTTGGAAACCAGGAGGATCTCAGTTTGAAGCCAGCCCAGGTAGAAAAGGTTCTGAGACTCTGTTTCCTATTAACTATCAAAATGTTGGGGTAGAGGTGTGGCTCAAGTGGTGGAGCACTAGCTTTGAGCAAGCCAGCCAAAAGAGAGGTGAGGCACTGAGATCAAGCCTCAGTGCTGCTATGTGCATACACATACACATACACACACACACACACACACACACACACACAAAATTAACTGAATGAGTCAAGAATTCTTAAGTTTGAGTATAAATCTACAGTAAATCAAATCTGAATCTGAGTCTGGAGGAAATTTCTGTGTTCACATTCATTATAGCACTATTCACAATACTTGACATAGGAACTTAATTTATGTATTCACTAAGAGATGGAATGATAAGAAAAATGTGGTAAGTGTGCTCCATGGAGTATTATCCAGCCTTTTTCTCTGGTGGTACTGTAGTTTACTGTCTTTTAGAAAGAAGAGAATTGAAGCTGAGCACTGTGATGGCTTGCTGCAGCTTCTGCTACTCCAGTGACTGAGGAGGAAGGACAACTTCAACTCAGGTATTAATGACTAGCCTGAGCAACAATGTCTTTCTAAATAAGTTAGTAAATTAACCATGTGTAAGAAGATACATGCTGCATAATCAGATTCACACATGGGACATAAAAAAATTAAGATCATGAAAGCAGAGAGTAGAATGATGGTCTGGAGGTGGCTGGGTTGGAAGAATAGGGTAATATGGGTCACAAGGTACAAAGATCCAGTGTACAGTGAATAATTCCCAAAGTGTGCAGCATGGTGATGATAGTTAATTAGACAGCATTTTGCTAAGAGACCATTAAATGTTTATAATGCAGTGGTAACTGTGTCAGGTAATTGATACATAACTACTTTGATTTTGAAAAGCATATTACAGATTGTACTCCTCAGAGTACAACTGGGTCTCAATAATGCTAGTATTTTCAATGGAAATAATGTGTAGTTTGATAAGAGCTAGATTATAGAAATTGATTTGGTGTGTAGTAAAAGAAGGAAAGAGACGATGGGTAGCCTATATTTCTGGCTTGACAATGAACTGAGATCAGGTGCTACTCATTGTAATGAAAAATTAAGATGCCTAGCAGAATCACTACAAAGGAATAGGTTGGTATTGCATTTAAGTTTATAGCTTTTAAAAACGCTCCTCAACGGAAAGAACACTGCTGGAGGAATATCAATACCAAATTTCAAACTCTACTATAAAGCCATAGTAATCAAAACAGTTTGGTATTGGCATAAGAACAGACCTCAGGACCAATGGACTAGAATTGAAAACCCAGAAATGAACCTACAGACCTATAGCCATCTAATCTTCGATAAGGGAGCTAAAACAATAGAATGGAAGAAAGACAGCCTCTTCAGTAAATGGTGCTGGCAAAATTGATTAACTACATGTAGAAAACTAAAGCTAGATCCTTATATATCACCCTGCACCAGAATCAACTCCAAATGGATCAAAGACCTTGAAGTCAAAGCAGCACTCTGAAAACATTACAGGATGGAATAGGAAAAACCCTAGGTCTCCTTGGCTCAGGCCGAAATTTTCTGAATAGAGACCCGGAAACACAACAAATCAAAGAAAGGTTGGACAAATGGGATTGCATAAAGTTGCAGAGCTTCTGCAGAGCAAATGACATAGCTAGCAAGATCAATAGAAAGCCCACGGATTGGGAGATCTTTACTAGCCATACAACGGACAAGGGTCTCATATCTAAAATATACTTGGAACTCAAGAAATTAAACCCTCCAACAACAAATCCTCAAAGAAACAACTGCCCAATAAATAAGTGGGCGAAGGACTTAAAGAGAAACTTCTCTGAAGAAGAAAGAAGGATGGCCAATAGACACATGAAGAAATGTTCAACATCCCTAGCCATAAAAGAAATGCAAATCAAAACAACATTGAGATATCACCTCACCCCAGTTAGAACGGCAAAAATCAAGAACTCTAACAACAACAGATGCTGGAGGGGATGTGGACAGAAAGGAACCTTACTTCATTGTTGGTGGGAATGTAAACTTGTTCAACCACTTTGGAAAGCAGTATGGAGGTTCCTCAAAAGACTTCACATAGAACTCCCCTATGACCCAGCAATCCCACTTTTGGGCATTTACCCAAATGTTTACAAACAAGACCACACTAAAGCTACCAGCACAACAATGTTTATTGCAGCATTATTTACCATAGCTAAGATATGGAACCAACCCAGATGTCCCTCAGTAGATGAATGGATCAAGAAAATGTGGTCTATATACACAATGGAATTCTATGCCTCCATCAGAAAGAATGACATTGCCCCATTTGTTAGGAAATGGAAAGGCTTGGAAAAAATTATATTAAGTGAAGTAAGCCAAGCCCAAAGAAACATAGGTCCCATGGTTTCCCTTATTTGCAATATTTAGTATATGTATGAGTCAAGCGGCAAAAGTCAGATAATGTGATGTCAGGAAAATGAACCCTTAGATATGTATTTTACTGTTTTTTTCTTTCATGCATGTGTTTCTAACGCATTTATAAGATTATCTCTTTGTTGCTTTGTATGTCCCTCCCCCACAGTATAACCCCTGCTTTCACTATATTTGATGTCAGTATAACTTGAGGAGAAAAGGGGAAAAACCAGTTGTTTAAGGATACAGGTGGACCTGTTGCAACAATGAGAAGTACAAGTTGTCATGTCCAAAACGAACTTTACAACGTCGGTGCGGGGGTGGGGGAAGGGGGGGAAGGAGATTGGGGGGGAGGCTGGGAAGGGATGTGAAGGGTAAACAAAAGGAGGAGGCTGCAATGCTTGGTAAGAAATGTACGCATTATCCTGCCCATGTAATTTTAATCCCTCTGTACAGTATGTTCACAAATAAAATTTAAAAAAAAGTTTATAGCTTTCTCATTGTATCCACTAGCAGACGTAGAATGAGGGGCTGGGATTGTGAATGTAAGCTTAGGAAATCTAGTTCTTGTAGCCACATTATAATTTTTTCTTTTGATTTATAATAACTATTTAATTTGATGCAATACTGGTTTTTAATTTTTATTATTATTAGCTGAATACTTGGATTCATATGTAAAAAAAATTACCCGTGCCTATGTCTTCCAGAGTTTTCCTGTAGCCATTTCAGGTATAAGGTCTTACATTAAGATTATTTGCTCATATGGAGTTCATTTTTGTACAATATAGGCATCTAACTTTCATTTTCATCATATAGATAAAAGTTTTTCCAGCCACATGTGTTGAAGATAGTATTTCTCCAATGTATGTTTTTGATAACACAGTTTTGTCAAACACCAGATGGTTGTAGTTGTATGATTTTGTTTCTGAATCTTTTATTCTATTCACTGTATTTATGCCTGTTTGTTTCCCAGTACCATATTATCTATATCTGTGGTATAATTTCAAGTCTGATATTTTGATGCCTCTGACATTGCTCTTTTTTGAATTATTTCAGTTATTCAGGGTCTTTGATGATTCTAAATGGATATTGGCTTTATCTTATTTCCTATTTCTAAGAAGAATCACGTGAAATTTTTGATGAACATTGTTTTTCATCTCTCCATATACTGTAAATTGCTTTTGATAAAAGTTATTTTTATAGTATTACCTCTGCTAATCCATGAACATAGGAGATCCTTCTATTTTCTGGAATCTTCTTTACTTTCTTAAAGGTTTTTAAATTTTCATAATGAAGGTCTTCACCTACTTGCTTAATTTAAACCAAGATATTGTTTTAAGGCTATAGTAATTGAAAGTGCATTTCTTATTTTGCTCTCATGCTATTATTCATTGTAGGTATGTAGAAAGCCTTAATTTTTGTAGGTTGATTTATATATCTTGCTACATTTAAAATTGTTTATCAGTTCCAGTAGATTTTGGGTGAAATCTTTATAATCTTTTCTGTATCGAATCATGTATCTGTAGAAATAAGGTTTCTTCCTTTCCTATTTAAATACCTTTTATTTCCTTCTCTTGTGTCTCAGGTTAGAAGTTCTATCCCTATATTAAGAGGGTGAAGAATGTACACCCTTGTCTCAACCTTTACTTTAGAGGAAATGATTTTAGTTTTTCCTCTGTTGTGTGCTGTATTAACATGTAATTGACTTATGTATATTGAACTGTACTTGCATCTCTGGAATGAAACCAACTTGATCATAGTGTATTATCATTTTAGCTTGCTGTTGAATTCAATTGGCAAGTTTTTTTAATTTTTTTTATTTATTTGAGGATATTTGCATCTATGTTCATTTCATTTTGTACAATTGAAACCCCATACCCATTTGAACTATATCTCCTTGCTATAGTTTGAATATTTTTTGAATGTGCCCTGCATAGGTTTATACTGGAAGGTTGGATCATAATGTTTCAGTGTTGTGATATTAAAAGCTATATGTGCTGAGCCAGGAATAAATAAATTAGATTATGGGCATACTGCTCTGAGAAAAATGATTATTCATGGTCTTATGGAATGGGTTCTTGCAAGAACCTGTTATTATAAAGCATGACCACCACACTTCTGTATGTAGATGGTTCATTTTCAGTTTGTTTTCTGTTGCAATGAAGCCAAGAGGGCTTATCCAGATTGTTTTTAATCCTTCCATCAAATTTCCCCTATATTAAATAACATGCCTCATTTTAGCCAGGAACCAGTGGCTCATTCCTATAATTCTAGCTACGAGGATAGCAGTTCAAAGCCAGACAGGTAGATGTTCCTCAATCTCCAACTGACTAGCAAAAAAGATGAACTAGACACATGGCTCAAGTAGTAGAGCATCAGCTTTGAGCAAATAAACTGAGTAAAGCATGAGGCCCCTGTGTTCAAATAATGGCAAAAGCATCATCATCATCATCATTTTAATAATAATTAAGTTCCCCACCCCAGGTATTATGTGATAGCAATGGGTAAAAAGAGAGTTCTTCCTTGTTCAGTCCTTGGCAACTGTCACTCTATTACCTCCCTGTTATATGAGCTAGAAAATAGGAAATCTATTGAGTTTATCTTATTTCATTTAACTTCACTCATTCACCATGGAATCTTCAGTTATATTCACTATTAAATAATCTCTAAATACTCAGTTTATTTGTTTTTATTTTATTTACAAACAGAAAAGGATAAATACTAGACTAGGGTGTAAGCAAATTGGTAGAAGCTTTATTAGCAAGAACCCTGAATTGCAGTGATAATTCTGAGGTCTCTGAATGTTCATACATGTGCTGTATCAGTAAAGGCTGTTCTTCATGGAAGGCTGTGATGCTGTGGTTCTGCAGAAGAAAGAAAAAGTAGCAAGTGAAACTCATCTCCCAGGAAGGCCCGCCTATCGCTCATCTGTATCAGTTCTCTCTCTTGTTCTTAGATCTCGGAGGAAATGGTACTACTACAGGTGATCTTTGTAAATCCTGACTTATATCATTTCTCTTTCCAAGAACACTTAAAAGGTTTTCTTTTCCCTGTGGATATCAGTTATAAAGCATTTGCAATTGGATCACCAATTCTCTGATTCTCTTTCTGCCATTTTTCCCCACAGTCATTCTCCTCTAGTCACATGGTCCCTGACCAGTTCTTAAGCATATTTAACACATTTATGCAACAAAATATTTGCCTCTACTGTAGCCTCAGATGTGACACTTTCCTGCACAAGAAGCACCAAGTTTACTCCCACCTGTCAGTTCATAATTCTGATTTCATCATTTCAAAGAAGTCTTTCCTAAATATTGTTTCTACAGCAGTCCAATACACATCATTTCATGTTCCCTCTTTCCTCCTTTATTTTTGTATTAACTCATCACTCTATGACCAATGATAGTTTCCATAATCTATGTTCAGATCTGTCTCTACACATTAGAATATAAACTTGGTTCACTGATATGTTCTCAGCAGCTAGACTAGAACCTAGTATATAGTAATTGTAGATAGATGCCAAGTGAAGTTAAAAAAAAAAAAGAGTGTTCCAGTTGATTTTTTTGGATAAATTAGGCACTGACGCTGGTTTGGCTGGCACTTTACAATTGGAGACTCAAAAAGCAAGGATGAGAGATAACTTTGATATATAGTTACAGAGTAGAAATAAACTTTGGAATAAAATATAACTTAAATCATGTTTTTGAAAATGAACTTAATACCACAAAATAGTCAGAGATAAAGCTCTTATGAGTGAATAATCATTGTGTCTAACCTTAAACTACCCATTCTACAATACTTTAATCAAAAATATTTAAGGTTTAACAAGGAGCTTCCATGAGTTTCTGAGTAGTAATGGGAGGTCTGAAATTAAATTCTGAATGGTCTGTCAGCTACACTCTTAACAACAGTGTGAGAACAATAAGCCAAAGAGTCCAGATGTACAGAGCTGGAGAATCAGAAATACAGAATAAGAAATGGTAGATATATGAACATTACCAATCACCAAACTGTATCACCAAAGATCATTAATTTGATTATACAAATAATCAATTCCTTTGATCATTTTGTATTATTACCAATATTATTATACTTCTATTTAATTTAGCTTCCAGTAACTACTCTTGGTACTTACTGTTTTCAGTTCCCAGGAAATAGGTAGAAATCTCTTGTTAGTGTTATTCGTTCAATAGAGGGCAACTGGGCTTTAGTAGTTGGGTTTTCAAATGATTGTTGGATCTAGAACCAAACACTGCTTTAGATAAGATAAGCTGTATAAACTTATAAAAACCTTTTGCACTATATGCTAGATAATTCTGGGAGTAAAGAATACTCCTGTAATTGATGGATTCCAATTCCCTCAGACCTCTACTCAATGTCTTAGCTTTCATGCCCTGTGTAACTCTGTATACTTCAAGAACAATCATTTATTCCTCATCTAGACCATCAGTTTCCATTTTCTTCTTGTTCTGTTTTGTAATTACAGACATGATAATCAATCATCCATTGGAGCTGGGCATGATTCAAACCCGTTCACTTGAAAGGTAGAGATTGAATACAGCCTAGGGAAAAAAGTTCTCAAGACTCCATATCAACCAAAGTTAAGTGTAGTGGAAGATGTCTGTTAACCTTGGTATATGGGAAGCTCAAATAGGATTATAGACTAGGCCAGCACAGGCATAAGGTGAGATTGTTCCTCGAAAATAACCAAGACAAAAACGGCTAGTAAGAGTGTGTGTTTAGCAAACATGAAGCCCTGTTTTCAACCCCCAGTAACAAGAGGGAATAAGAATTATATTTGGAAGAATTATCACATTTAAGCCTTACTTGTTCTGCTTTGAGCTTCCATGGTGGCATTTTGACCTGTTTTTGCTTTGTTTTGTTTTTACTAGATTTTAAACTCCTGAATGAAAATAATCAGGTACTGTTTCACTTTTTCTTTTTGACAAAGTTTGTTAATTTCATAGGAAAGGTGAATAATGATAAATACTTTCTTAAGAACAAAATGTATAACTAGAAAATTAAAGAAATTACCTTTCGAAATATTTGCACTATGTGACAGGAGCAGGAATATTTCTGGAAGCATCGGATGAGCTCAGTGATGAACGGGGAGCCGCTCATGGGATCTCTATAGGACAAGTTATCTATGAAGAAAAAAGTTTTATGCCTTGGTCAGTTATCTTTCACTAATTGTTTTATTATATTCTATTTATTTTTGAAAAATAAACAGTACAGAAAATTATTTATGTATTTAGAGGAAGTATAGAACTTTACATTGTCTCATTTTCTACGTATGCAACAACAAATTGGAAGATATTGCACTAAAGAGTAAGCTAATTAGAGTTGCAGGTGCTGGCATGCTGATGGCACTGTGATTCTTGGAGCCATCTACAATGTTCCTTCCACTCACTTCTCTAGCACTGAAGGTAGGGAAGAAACTCTCCAAGTTGACATAATAAGTACATGACGAAACATGACCACCTGGCTCCAAGATCATTCTCAAATTAAACTGTTCTGTGTTTTACAATATAATAAGCAAAATTGGCAAGAAGAACCAAATTTATAGTTACATAAACTGAGAACTCTCAAGGATCTCATATAGAATGTAGTAATAATAGCTGATAACACTGTATTTTAGGCTTAAAATGTACTGAGAAGAGAGATTTTATGTAGACAAAGAGAATGTTTGTTAACGAGAGGTATATGTTCAGGGCATAAATTCTGCTATTGTTTTTATAATAATTGTCTCCAACCACATTTGATTGGATACATAAAATTTGTAGAAAATTTTATTTTCATTTTACTTCTTTAAAACAATTTATCAATAAGAATGGATAAGTTGAAAATGAGAAAAATAAAAGTAACACGACTTAATCTGATTACCTAGATGTAAAATACTAAGTTATTGGAGTTAAGAAGTCTCATCATGTCTTGTCCTTATTCTTTTAAAAGGGTGTTCTCATCCTTATGGGGTCATGAAATTGCACAACTGTAGGTAGAATCGGAAAGGAAGTATGGAGAGAATGCAATTGGGCTTGCATTCCATTACATCTCTACTCAATCAAATACCTTAAATATATTCAATATGAAGCAGAATCAGTTGTTTAAGTGGTGTTTAAAATGGGATATTCCTTCTTTTAGTTGCTTTAATAATTTCCTATGACTATGAATATAAAGTGCAGCACTTCTATTCAAAGCACAGTTTTTAAGGTGGGTGTGTCTCTGTCCCCAAATCATAACATTATTTATTTGAAATGCATTGACAGCAATCAAAATTACTCTCAGACCATTGGTGAACAGGTCTCATCTTAGTTCTTGGAATCATTGAAAGGTAACCTTAGTGTAGAGGTGGAAAACACATACTTGGTGTTGAAGAGAAAAAAGCAATGAAGTCCTTCTCCTTGTGTCTCAGGGAAACAGCATCTTCCTCCAGGTTCTGTGACACGGAAAAGCTGTCTGCCAGGGCTGCTGGTGAATCTCTGAGCCACACTCCTCCACTGTTTCCTAGAGACAACAATTTCCTACACTGACTCTCCTTCCATATGGATACCACAGTTGCCCACCTAACTCATTGTTAATGTTAATTTTAACTAGTTACACACACACAAACACACACACACACACACACTTTTCCTTTCTTTTCTAATGTTATTGAGTAGTGAACCAAGAAATACATTGAATCATATTCAAATAATGACACTATCACAAATCACAGAAGAACCACCTATTAGAATAAGAAAATAATTATTCCATGATATACATTTTCCATATATAGTGAGTCTGTAAGGTAGGTCTGCTTTAGTGTTATGAGGAAACTCCATACTAATTTCTTTTTTTTTAATTGGGAAAATACTGCACAGAGGGGTTATAATTACATGGGCAAGATAATGAGTACATTTCTTATCAAGCATTGTAGCCTCCTCCTTTGTTTCCCCTTCCCATCCCATCCTTCCCCCTACCCATCCACCCAACCCTCCTCCCCCCGCCCCCACCAAAGTTGTGAAGTTCATTTTCGACATAACGACTTATACGTCTCATTGTTGCAATGGGTCCACCTGTATCCTTATTTAAACGCTTTATTTCCCTTCCCCTCCACAAATTATAACAACATCAAATACAGTGAAAGCAGGGTTTATACTGTGGGAGAGGGACATACAAAGCAACAAAGAAATAATCTTATAAATGTGTTAGAAATAATCGCATGAAAGAAAAAAATTTGAATACATATCTTAGGGTTCATTTCCTTAACATCAACTTATCTGACCTATTCTGCTTGACTCAGACATATAAGGGAAACCATGGGACCTATGTTTCTTTGGGTCTGGCTTACTTCACTTAATATAATTTTTTCCAAGTCTTTCCATTTCCTAACAAATGGGGCAATGTCATTCTTCCTGATGGAGGCATAAAATTCCATTGTGTATATATACCACATGTTCTTGATCCATTCATCTACTGAAGGCATCTGGGTTGGTTCCATAACTTAGCTATGGTAAATAAGGCTGAAATAAACATAGTTGTGCTGGTAGTTTTAGTGTGGGCTTGTTAGTGAAAATTTGGGTAAATGCCCAAAAGTGGGATTGCTGGATTACTTTCCAAAGTGGTTGAACAAGTTTACACTCCCACCAACAATGCAGTAAGGTTCCCTTCTGTCCACATCCCCTCCAGCATCTGTTGTTATTAGAGTT